CGCAGGTAGGAAATCCCGATCTGGTTCGATTTGAAATTCCTCTCCCACGTAGGCTGCAAAATTATCTTTCCCTCATTACAGGCTATTTGGACTGGTGAGGGGTCCCTCCTTTTTTTCTTCCTTCTAGGCTCTCTGTCCTGGAAAAGGGGGCGTAACAGAGGAGTGATGAGAGAAGAGGTAAGTCTGTCTTTACAAAGCTGGACAAGACTGCAATTCTCTCTCCATTGGCAGTGGCTGCGTTTCTGGTTAACACTGCCTGGCCGTCCCTGCCCTCCCTGGCATTAGAGTCCAAATGCCAAACCTCTGAGGGCTCTCGGGGGTAGGAGGTACACCACAGTTCAGTGACTTGGGGATCCACGCTGACTCGGGCCCCTTCCGGCCCCTTCAGCTTCCCTCCCCTGCATACAGCCCACAGTCACGTGTACTGTGGGTTGTACACAGTAAGCTTTCCCTGGGCAAGCCCTCCTGCGAGGGTTACCGGCAAAACGGCCCGTGCCCAACTTCCTTCCTCGGGGTCCACCTGACCCCAGGAAATCCTTCCACCCTTGTCCTGCCAACGACAAGGAGAGCTGAGTGTTTTGCTGATGTCTCTCTCCAATTCCTTCCCCTTGCTCACTGCTGTGGCGGCCATCAGCGACCATGCTGCACACCCCAATGGGATCCTAGCTTCTCCTCTTTGGGCACCCCAAGCTTTACAACAGATTCTCCTAGACGCCCCCTCACATGATCAGGGGATAAAAACCACCTCATTATTGATTCCAGAGAAACGAGAAACCTTCCCATGCAACGTCCTATTACACAACTGAAATATCGCTTAGACAGTGAAATGAGAAGCGATAACCACAGAGCTGTCTTTGAAGGGGCAAAGGCCACAGGCTATTAGCTGAGGCAGGAGCCCACCTTTCCTCACCCCTTCTCCTTACAGCTCCACACTCCCCCCCAAGGCGCTGGCGTCAGAACACAGCTCAGGGCCCCTGTTCTCTGGCCTTGGCCGGAGTTGGGATGAGCTTCTGTCTAGTTCTTTAGCTCTGAGTCTCCAGCTTCACTGGGTATGTGCTCAGAGCCTGACAGTGGACACAAGGCTTCCTGGGAGGATTCTGTCAATAGACAGCACCATGTTCAAACACAAGGAGCCCGGCTTTGACGTCAGCAGAGCCTGGATCGGAACCCGGGTTCTACCTTGAACGGTGTGACCTTGGGTGAATTATTAAACCCTCCTAAATCTACCCCTTTATCCACAAGAGCAACTCCTGATTTGCAAGAGCATGATACGAATTAAATGAGAAGGTGCCTGGCATTTTTACAATCTCAGCAGATCTCAGAACAAATTAATGATGAAGTCACAATCAAAGTTGAGATAAAACGATTCTCTCTCATTTTACAATTCACATCCATGGCATCAACACTGCTTCATATTTTCCTAATGCACCAAATCCTCCAGTGATATATTACCTCAAGGGTTGGCTTGGTTGAATGGATATTTGATACCTGTTCAGCCCCCCCTCCCCCGCCTTTGCCCACCCCTCCCCCAAGATTTTAATGTCAACAAGCAGTTCAGAAGGCTTTCATCTGAACAAGGCAGGAAGTCCCTGGAGTGAGCCTTGCTTAGAGGACAAGAATGGCCTCCGGTTGTCTCCTAACCCTTTCTCTTTTTAATAAAAATGGTGAGCAGACCTGGGCAGTATCCCCTTGGCCACTGCTCACCACCGGTCACAAATAGGGACTCAGTCTCCGGGCTACCGGGGAAGCCGAGCACACTCCGGAGCAAAGATCAGCAGGCAGGATCTTTCAACGTATGGCAGCTCTCGGCAAACAGTTTCCAGCTCACGTGAAGTGTGCCTGTGTGTTACGGGCAAACATGAAGCGAGGGCAGACTTGTACACGATACCAATTTCCTTTCATGGATTAGCACGCAACTTCTTATCGCTGAGAGTAAACACACTTAGTGCTAAATATACCCTTCCCATCTTATCCTTCGGATTAATTTATTTTAAATCTGGCCCAGGCCCGGCTCGACAGCTGCCGCATTTCCCAGAAGGTTTACATAAACATAGTACACACTTGCCTCGCCAGCCCTTAAATTAGTAGGCAAGTCTGTGTGCCTCGATTTAAATCCAGGAAAACAGGAGGAGGAGGGCATCCCAGCTCAGTGAAACCCCTGCCTTTCCTTCCTTTTCTCCCCTTATCTTGTCTTCAGTATAGGTGTCTAAGAAGCAGGCATCAGTGAGGTCTCTCAGAACAGCTGCACTTGACCTTCACAAAAAATACAATGAAGAGGAGGGAAAATGGTCAAGATGAGAGGGAAGCAGTGAGAGCACAACGAGCCAGAAAGAAAAGCACGCACTGAAGGAGAACAGAAAAATTCAGAGGCTCTGGACTCTCGGGGTGAAGACCTTCGAGGAGAGAACCCGCTTCATTCTGTCGGAAGCTCGTACCTACATGTCGTGCTTTGAGAGCCTGTCTGGAAAGGAGGAGCGCTTTCCATGCAACCTGCTGGAACGTGGTCTTTTTGTTTATTTTTTATTTTTTTAAAGATTTTATTCATTTATCTTTAGAGGGGAAGGGAAGGAGAGAGGGAGAGAAACATCAATATATGGTTGCGTCTCGTGCATCCTTTGCTGGGAACCGGCCTGCAACCCAGGTATGTGCCCTGACTGGGAATAGAACCGCGACCCTTTGGTTCACAGGCCTGCACTCAATCCACTGAGCTACACCAGCCAGGGCAACGCCTGTTTTATCCCCGATCATCCTCACGGCTCCACCCACACCTGCCCCACAGTCGCACTCCCACCGGAAGCAGAGGGAACTGTTCTGAGGCCCAGGGTATTTGTGACGCACCGATTTACACGAGGAAAACACCAAATTCAGAGATCCAGACCATGAATCACAACACTTGATGATATGAGACTCAAGGAAGCCATGAGAATCGCCAGGGCCAGGGTCTGAGTGTCTACACAGTAGACATGGTCCAGTTCTCATAATTTCTTGTATTGCCCACGAGTACAGACTCGGTCTGTAATTACCTATTCTTAACATCAGTGTATACTTTTAAATGGTGGGCTGTTGGTCATAATTCCTCTATCCGGTTCTAATATGCCTTACACCCTTATGTTCTTTCATAGCTTCATTGACATGTAATTCACACCACAGACAACTCATCCATTTAGGGTACAACTCAGTGGTGTCTGGCATATTCATGGAACTATGCGACCATCAGCAAGGTCTACTGTTAGAACATTTTAATCACCCCAGAGGAAGCACTCTACCCCTGAGCATCACCCTCAGTTTTGTCCTGTGCTCCTCTCAGCCCTGGACAACCACCAATCTGTCTTCTGTCACCCTAGATTTGTCTGTTCCGAATGCATCATAGAAATGGAATCACACACTATGTGTTCCCCGCGATGGCCTTCTTTCACTTGGGACAGCATTTTCAAGGCTCGTCCACTCCGTAGCTTGTTTCAGTACATCTTCCTTTTTCATGGCCACATAACATTCCATTGAATGGCTACACCACCTTCCACAAATCCATTCACGGTTGGCAAATGTTCGATCGATTCTGCTTTGGGGCCGTCGTTGATCACGATTGCACATTCCTGTACACGTTCCTGGGTGGGCGTAGATTTTCGTTTCTCTTGAGTCAGGAGTGGAATTGCTGAGTCACGGTAACTACATTTACCATTGAAGGCCTTGTGCTCTTTTAACCTTTTTATGACAACTTGTTCAAACTGCAGCTCATACAGTAAAGGTTTCTTCCAATCCCTCCTTCATCCCATGGGAAAAGCCACTATTCCAAGTTTGGTATGTATGCCCTCAATTTTTTAAATGCATAGTTTTTCTCATATAACTATTACATAGATGGGATTACATCACATGTGTTCGCACTCTTGTTGCTCAACAGCACACAGTGGACGCCACTCCACACCATCTGGGGAGATGCAGCTACATGGGTCTCTCTCTCACCGGTCACAGGTCCAGGTGTATTTTCATTGTGGGCAAGAAATCGCAACACCCAACATGTGGATTAAAGGCCATTTCGATCTGTATATTCATTCCACGTACTCGTATGTGACTTTCATTTCCACATGTTCACCGCAGATCCCTCTGAGGACTCCATTATCGATCGGCTTAAAAATCACAGGTCTAAGGAGTGATTATCTTGGGCCCAACGCTGACTGGGGTTAACACATAAAGCTGAGTGGGAGGTTAGTGTGGGTGGCTTTGGCTCACGCCTTGAGGACTAGATCTATTATTTCCTGTTTGTTGTTTTATTAAGTGATAACATTGAAATATGAATACCTGCATAATTATAAAATAATATTCTCAAACAAGAGACAAATGGAAAGGTCCCTGTCTCCCCAAATCCTCCTTTCTCTATGATATTTTAACAGGTTTTTATCCTTCTGAGTGTTTTTCTACTTCAATAGAAATTCTTACGTATCTGTAGCTTCGTCTTTGTTCCCTTTTTACAGAAACACAATAGTACACATACTATCTTGTGGCTTTTGCTAATCTACCATTATATTTTGTAAATCTTTCATAGATACAAGATCATTTGCAAGTTGAATTTGAAATTGCGTAGCCGAACGCAGGAGGTGGGCAGTGAATTTCCTATCGCCGGAGAAAAGGTCACTTTAGAAACACACCCAAAAGTAATGTGGTATATTCAGGAGAGTCGTCTCCAAAGTTAAATGGCACACACATGATGTTGTGCACTGTGTCCCCAGGTCGCTGAGCTAGGAGCTGGGGAACACCAGAAGCACCTGGAGCTCCGGTCACCCAGGCAACAGCCCCACCCCACGCCCACCCCCACCCCCTCGCCCCCAGCCTGCAAAGCAGCCAGGCGCTGCCCGTGCAAAGGGCCAGAGCCCCTCCACAGACGTAGCAACCTGAGCAACCTGAGCAACCTGAGCGCTGGTGGCAGTCCTAGCGCTCTCGCCCTCGCCCGGTCCAGACTCCTGACTTGAAGCTGCAATGGCCCGCGTCAGAACGGGGACACTTACTTTAGGCCGGGTGTCGACGACGTAAATGAAGTCACTCCCTGGGTTGGCTTTCCTGATGGCCTGGAGCATCTGCTCGTCTTCCAGGCACCGGGCACTGAAGCCGGACAGGGGCTGGCTGCTCCGGCAGATGGAGGCCTGCGGGGAGAGGCCGTGGCGACACAGTGGCGTCAGATGACTGCGCCACCGGACCCTGCGGGACCCGCTAGGCTGGACGCACAACCGGGGAGCCCCCTTGGTGCGTCTGTGCCCTCTACTCGGGCAGGCAGTGCAAAGGGTTTCTGTATAAGGAATCGGAATCTTTGGATGGGACACACATCAGGATATTTAAAGCCATTTAAATAACCTACTTTCCTTTCCACCAGTGTCCATTCATGTTCCTGCTGAGGGAAGAAACGTGAAATAAACAGTTCTGTCCCGAAAATGTATAGCATACTACTAAGGGCAAGGTGAGTACAAAGCATTTTTAAGTGCTTTCCATCATTTTTCACTAGGCCATCCATTTGCAAACGTCACAAATACCCCAAACCAGTCCTGACTCTAAGTGAGGGACTTCTCATTGGCGCTGAGGGGTGGCAGGCACAGCCTCGGCGACCGGAGGGTGTGAGAAGCAGGGGCTCCTCCGACTCCACCCGCTGCCTGCTCTTCTCTATTCTGCAATTCGACAAGTACCTGGTGTGGTCAGACAATAAACTCAGTACCATAAACGTTTGCCCTGGTTATCAATAGGCAAGTACGGATACAACCTCACAGCTAAAAACATATATACTTTGGGGCAAAGCACCTTTTATGGATTTAGATTTTATTTTAATGTTTAAATTGCACTCAAATCACCAAGTACAATCAATATAGGAAGGAGTCAAAGAGTCTACACTGAGCCCGTGAGTGCACGAGGGTGGAGGTGGTGACCACCGACTAGGAGCAGGAGGAAGACAGCTCGCTCGCTGGGGACGGGCTCAGCAGGGGAAGCTCTTGCTGAAATTTGGCAGAACCTGCTCAGGGCGCCTGCGCTGCGGGGCTCTCTCCAGGAAAAGGTATCCCAGCTCTGAGTCCAAGCACAGCTTAACTGTCCCTAAAGCTCGATCAGGGCACGTCAGGTAGGGTTTCAGTTTCTGCATACAGAGGCGAGCTTTGGCACTGTACATTGGAGAAGGTGGGGAAGCTGCTCACAGACTAGACCATCCCATCCCTCGGCTGTCTTGGTGCAGGACGAAGCAGCACAGAACGGCTGGACACGTAGCTGTAGCTGGGCAGCTGTCTGCGGGTGCCGGTACCACTCTGTAACAGGGAGGGGAGACAGCCGGGGTGGCTCCAGGAACTCCCAGCTGCAGCCAGGGGCCGGATGCAGGGGCGCAGGGCAGGGGTGGGTGAGAAGGAAGCGAAGCGCCAGCCAGCAGATTTGCTCCAGGCTTGTTTAATTCTTGGAATTGTTGGCAGCAAAAGCCCAACTGCCCATGTCAAGGGGAACGAGACCCGAAGGCCTGAACCTGGATGAGAGGACAGCCAGGTTGAGCCAGGAGAAAGGTGACCGGAGGGTAAGGACCAAAGCGGGTTGGGACACAAGAGGCAAGCTACGTCCCACGGATGGAAAGCAGGTCCCCGCACGTGGCTCCTCATCTCTAGGGGGGTCAGCATTGGGAGGGGGGCGTGTGTGCACATTACGTGTTTGCCTGGGTACCCAAGCCATTTAGCAATGCTTAGACACACATCTCTGCTTTACACCTCGTAAGAAGAGTTGAAACTTAAAAGTACCATCTGCCTTCAATGTGTGCAAGATAGGAATTCAACTGTTTTAAAGGCGAACAGATGGCTGCAGGAGATCATTTTCAGGCCTGGACATCAAATGAAGACTATCGAAGACTAGCACATGGGGGCTTCAGTGAAGTGATGAGGGTCTGAGGTGCGAGGCAAAGAAGCTGGGCTCTGGGGCGCACTGCCGAGCTTGGCTTCTCATCCCGTTCTGAGATGTAACGCACTCGCTCTTCGTGATCCTCACGGAGGAAAACAGGAAACCCTTTCTCAAGAATACCAAAACAGAAAAAAAAAAAAAACCCGAAGCAGGAGAGGCACTACGCTCACTCTAAATACCCAGCACATCCCTACCTCTTCCCAACAGAGGAACGAAGGGTGCCCCTCTCTTACTTCTTTATCAGTAGATGCTACGAGAAGGGGGATGCCTTGGGCACCCTAATTTCAAGTACAACATCACGAAATTCCTTATTCATTCCATCCGCTGTTTGTTTGTGTGTTTAAGGAGATTGACACCTTCTTTTGCCTTTCACCATTGCTCCTGGTCTGGGTAGGATGACATATAGTTGGAGTCAAATAATACACACATTAATAAAATGCTTGTCTCCTTTAGAGCCCATTTCAGAGCCGTGAGAATAACTAAAAATAAGACAATTTATAGCCTTTCCAGCAACAGCACTTACAAGGCTGAAGTGAATATTTGCCTTTAGAGAGCAGCGCAGAAGGGTGCCACGGCCTCTGGCAGAGCTGGAGGCCACTGGGAAGCCCCTTTTTAGAATCTGACACAGACCCGCCCCTGCTCCTGGCTCACAGGTGCGTGCATGCCATGCACACTCCCATGCCTGCCGCACACACTCATGTGCCTGCTGCAACTATGCACAGCCTTACTTTTGAATCCAGAGCTGCATTGTCTAGCTGGAGAACCAAACTTCTGCATCTGGCTGAAGTCAAATAGCTTCTGAAGTGGGTGGCAAAAACCATTCTTGTCTTCCCAAATTTGTTTTCTCCTCCTCCACAGAAATGGAACCCCAGTTTTTAGCTGTTCACACGGTTACCCATAAAACCGTATTTTCTCACCTGTCCTGGGCAGTTCTGACCAATAGACGAGAGCAGAAGTGTCACATGACAGTTCCAGAAACCGTGCCCTAGAAGCTGTGAGTGCACCCTGTGGAAGTGACAGCTGGGACTAAACTTGGCTCTTACGCCACAGGAGGAGGGTCAAACCCCAAGGTGGCAGACGAGACAGGGGCCAGGGGCTTGGGTCCCTGACAGGTGAGTGGTGGAGAACTCGGACGCCAGGCCCAGACTGCCCGCACCTTTGGAGTTTTACGTGCGAAAGAATAAAGTTCTATCCTGTTTCGGCCACTGTTCCTTAGTTAGGGGCAGACAAACCTAGTTCTAGCATTTATAAACAATATTAAGAACATAAAGCCACTCTCCCAAAATGAAGATTTCTTATGTGGAGGATACTCCAAAAATGTGCCATTTAAAAAAAAAGAAGAAGAAGATGCCATGGATGAGGTGGGGTGGCTTTTCAAAACTAGGCGTTGCAAAGGACCTGTTTGAACCAGCATAGTGCCTCCCCGGCACTCACTTGGGTGATGAAGTTTAGGCAGCTTCCCACTCTGTCCCATCACTTTATTGTCAGGTCAACGTGGAAAGTCAACTTTGCCGTGAGCGAAGGTTCAAGCGAGGCTGGGTTGTTTCATACCACGCATAGCAATATCCGCATGCCTCTAAGGAGAACTCACACACACGCACACTGCAGAAGGCCGCTAGGAATGTCTGCTGGCGATAACACCGGACAAGCAACGCCCAGAACAAAAGCATGCCTCGTGCCTTACGTGGTTATCTTTGTAGTAGTAGGAGAGGGCAGGAAACCGCCGTCTGCTCCGGAATTTGGAACTCCCCACTATGATGTGTGCCGTGGCCGGTCTGGGAACGTACAGCTCGGTGGGGTATGAATCGCAAACCTGTCGCAGAAAATACAAGGGTGGGGGGGGGGTAGGCAAGTCAGTAAGGCTTTGGGAACGGCCCCCAGAAGTTTTGCTCATCAGACTTCCAGGCTGTGTGTTTACGTTTTCTTAACCGAGTTACAAGGAGGCTATTCTGAGGAGACCCACAGCCACTTCGAAGGAATGAAGGGCTGCTGATTCCCTGAAATCAGAGTGGAGGGACAGACCCACTGCAGCATCCTGCCTTCTGCACTGTCCCTTCCAAAGGCTCTTCATGGGAGGCAAGACAGTGACAAACGAGTTCTTTCATCAAAAAGCGACAACCTGCAGTTCCGCATCCTGGCAGCTGGGAAAACTTTGGCGGCCTGTTTGGGATGAAAGACAGCCTGACTCTGGAAGACAGCTCGCTAAATGCAAGCACCAGCAGTGAAGTCCCCAGGTCGCCCTTCTGTCCCCCGCATGCACAAAGTGCAGGGGGCGCCTCTGAGCCCCCCAGATACTCCTTCCCTCAACCTTTCCAAATCTCATCCAATCTGCAAGGTCCAACCCCATTCCTCCTCCCCCAGAAACCCTCCCCTCTGAGCTTCCAGCTCTTGTGACATCCTGGCTCTGACTTCCTATCACACAGTAGAACAGCTTTATTTTTGTGTCTTATGTGTCCATTTTACAAGTGGTAAAAAATGATTTGCTCTCTCCCTGAAGCCCTGACAGTGACTCCCAAAGTGGCAACTGGCACCTTCAAATGATCTGGCAGTTTAGTTGGATGTCAGCCATTCAGAATCTGGCCCTGACGTGCCAACTTCATGACCTGCAAGAAGTCACACTGCACTGAGCGTTTTGGTTTGCTGATCTCTAAAACTGACAAGGAACAGAAATATTATCCCACAGAGTTGGTGTAAGGGCCAAATCAGGTAACACCCATGACCAAGGACCCCATAAACCTTTAGGTCTGATGGAAGTGTTAGCCGGGGCAGCAGCAACGGCAGCTGAATTGCCGCCGGCACAGTTTTTGCTCTGATGTCAGGCAGTCAACCTTTCTGCAGTGTGATGATGGCTTAGGGGGCCGGTCCCTGGGCTTCGCCAAAGCAACTGGATATTTCCTGGAAGTCAAGCATCTTCTTGGGTGTTTCAAGAGGAGTCCTGAGCAAGTATAGCAAGGGGGGGGGGGGTAAATGCTTTATCTGCATGTCCTTAGGCCTCGTCACTTGCCCTGTCCCTATTTCCAATCTGGAAAGGTGGGACTAAAGGGAGTAAAACTCCCCCCTCCCACCCTCTAATGCCAAGTGAGACCCTCGCCCGCAGAGCTCGCACCTTGGTCGAGGTGCTGCCTGCCTTGCCTGCCTGCGCTGTCATCGTCACCGGATTGGCAAAGAACATGAAGCAGGACAAGATAACGGGGCCTGGAGTGTTACTTCTGCATTTTGTCAGAGACATTTTAGGGAAGACGACCAGACTTTAACATGGGCCCTGGCACTGAGACTGTGGAGGAAAATCCCCTTCCCGGGACCAACGGCCCAGCCCGCTCGGACCCAGAGAGCTTTTACTGGAACCCCGGCCGCAGGGCACCAGGCGCCCTTCCCCTCCCTCTGGTGTCAGACCCTCCCTGAGTCGGTCCCCAAGGACCTCACTACACAGACCACACCTGCTTGTCTGAGGTTCAGGAGACATGTAGTCATTCCATCAGACTAATAACATTTTCTTAAAATAACAGTTTTTAAAAGGAAATTGGTAGGTTTTCAGTAAGATGGGGATTACCTACTTTCTTCCTTATGACACGAAGGAATTGCAGTTATGATTAAGTGAACTAAAAATAAAAAAGTAATAGGAGAGATGTGGCAACATGCTTATTACATACAGCCTTTCTGAGTAGCTAGAGGTGAGCTGAGAACTCTGGAGCTTCTGCCAGGTCCTCTGATGGCTCCCCAAGGCCAGAAAGTGCTTAGCTGGGCCCAGGCCATAGCCCTGAGCAGTACCACTTCCGGGGTGGCACCAACAGACAAGGGAGACGCCCGGAGGCCACTCCCCTTCATACTCTCAGCCCCGCCCTACTTAGGGACCTGATCAGTGTCTATCCACTCAGGGTCTAATAATTCCTTGGCTCCCTCTCTCCACAGTGGGGAAAGGCAGACCTTTGTGGTCAGCAGGTGCAAGGACCAAGAGCACAACAGTCCAAGGCCAGACAACAGTGGTCAGCCTTGCACCAGCTTCATGGCCTCCGCTCCAGGAACACAACAATGCCAGTTCCAGGGACTTCTGCTTCCCCAGGGCCCTGGGTCTAGGGAAAAAGATTCCAAGGGCCAGAATTTGAATACATGGGACTTAGATAAGCATTTGCATGGGAAGCTCTAACTGAGGCTGAAACACCTTTGGAAAAAAGTCAGACTCACAGTGCCAACAAACTCGTGTTTCGAGATACAGCTTCCTAAACAAGCTGGAAAAAAGTAAATTCATCTTACTGTCATGAAAGTAGATAGCACTCGCCAGTGGAAATTAAAATAACAAGCTGGACAGCAGTGACTACTGTCATCATTTTGGCAACAAGCTCCCACAGTTATAGTCAAAATTCTGACCGTGCAGAATGAACAGCCCAGTACAATGTATGCCACCAACCTGTGAAATGACAATACAGCTCCCAAAATTTCGTCTGGTTTGGAAAATCACACACAAAAATTAGGAGGGAATAGAAGTACAGACGAGTAGAAATGCTTTTCTTTGGAATTTTTTTACACCGACTGCCTTAGCAATGGAAGTGCATTAAATTCAAAAGCTTCCTGCATATTTTTTATTAGTAACAAAGCAAGCTTCTTTGTCCTCGGCTCAATTAGTTAGCCTGCCTGGAATGTCCACATGTCTTGGTTGGCCTGGCCAAGATGCATCTTTTTGGGTAATTCTTTCACTCACTAAACAAGTTTTACTGAATATGAGCCAGGCATTATGTCAGGTGCTAGGACAGTAATAAACACAAAAGAGTTGTCCACCTCAAGGCCTCATCTTGCAGTAAGTGTATTTTCCATTGCATGGTAAGAACCATCTGAGATGCCATCCAAGGCATCTTGATGGCATCTCCATGTTTGCTGAGGACCAACCCCTCAACTGAACACTTTGAGCTAAAAGTTGGTTGTCAGGAGCTGCGACATATCTACTTAGATAACTTTCTTCTTCATCATTTAGGATGTAAAATTTATTTCAGGGAAGTTGGGATGCAATGAGAAGGTGAAGGAGAGTATGAGCAACATAAAAATGATTTATGTATAAATAAAATCAGACACAACATATAAAACATAGCTGTAGAGAACTAAAATAAACAAGATTTAAAAAAATTACTGGCTTGGATTACACTTTAAATTTTATTCCAAGGGAAATCGATTAAAATTTTAACCTAGCAATGAATGTCAGTTGTGTTATTTAAATAAAGACAATTTCAGGAGGTAGGGACAGAAGAAAATCCTACCTGAGATAGTTAGACTACCATTCACATGTCTTATAAATAGGGTTGCTAGTCATGACCATGGAGATGATGATGATGAAGAGAAAATGGCAGAACTGGTTCTGGAACCTGCCTTTGAACTCTACGTGTGGTGTCTTTTCCACCACGGACAATAGCTTCCTCTCCATCAGATGATTCCACCAGCTCCTCTTACCTCAAAGAATTCGTGAGAAGGAAGAAAGGACTCTCGTAAAGGAAGGAAGAAAAAAGTAAACACTGTCTCAACCACGAGGTTTAAAGCCAAAGTAATAACCTCCTGAATGAAGAATTAGTCAAAACTTTTTGAAAGAACCAACTTTTAAAACTATTTCTAAATTGGTAATAAAAAAGCGCACAACATCTTTTTCCCCATTTCAAGGACAGTTGTATAATCAGAAAATTCCCTGGGTTTTCACCTTTTCTGTTTCCACACAAATTGTGTATTGTTAGTTTGGGTGTGCTGTGCATTACTTTGGAAAAGAAATGCTAAGTAGCTTGTGTTTTGTCGTCTTTACTGTGTAGAGCTTCCGTGACTAAACATGAGTCATGTTTGTGGTTTAATTCCAGAAGAAGAAAATCTCATTTGAAAATAGGAAGAACCTGTGTTCCCAAGCAAATATTATTCCATAAAATTTTCTTCCTTGCCCAAGGGTGTGTCATATTAAAAAAAATAAGGACATTCTATTCCTATTTTCTTGGCTAACCTTGGGTTTTCCTTTCTTTCATTGTAAGACTAAAAATTCACTGCAGAGTTTGGCTTTAGTGTGAGAACCAACTATCTGGTTACATTAACCAGAGACTTTACACTGACTGAGACAAAAATGCCCCAAATGTCTACTTACGGTGTGAGGTTATGGTTGTTAGATTTTACTATAGTTATGAACAAAATTCAGTATCATGGAAGCATCCACTGTATCCTAACTAATCTATAAGTTCAAGATACTCAGAGTAATGTAGAAGGACATGACCAGTAAGATTTATTACAAAGCTGTAACACCCATAATTAATGAAAATGTAATTGTTAAAATTTTACAGTGTCAATTTGTATTGTTAGCAAAAATATCATGCATTTAAAAAAACAATATACTAAAACATGAACAAAATAGAAAAGATAGACAGCTCAAAACTCCTGACCATCGGCCCTGACCAGCATGGCTCAGTGCGTTGGCTATTGTCCTGTAGGAAGGTCACCAGGCACTGGCCTGGGTTGCAGTCCAGGTCCCTGGTTGGGGGCGAGCAAGAGGCAACTGATCAATGTTTCTCTCACACATTGATGTTTATCCCCCTCTACTTCTCCCTCCCTACCCCTCTCTCTAAAGATACATAAAATCTGTAAAAAAAAAAAAAAAACAAACCAACTTCTGAAGATCAAAAATGCCCTAGGAACAAGACAGAAATATCTTGTCAGAAGAGATACTTGCAACACCCGTACATGGTAACAGGCTATTATCTAGAATTTATAAGGACCTTCCACAAATCAATAAGAAAAACACACCCTTGTAGAAAAAAGGGATAAAAATGTGACTAGGCTGATCACAGGAGAGTCAACGTGAATAGCCAAGAACCACAAGTTCAGCCAGGCTAGTAATGAAGGGATACAAGTTAAGCCACCCTGAGATCCATCTCACAGGAAACAGATTGGCATGCTCTGAAATTTGACTGCATGGTGAGTTAATAAACTCACCAGGTTATAAAAAATGAGTCCCCTAAATGCCCAATAATTGGGAATACTTAACTACACTATGGAATATTTATTTCCTAAAATGTTATATGGTCTTTTAACTGACTGATAGGCATACTGTGTAGCCATGTAGAAAACCCTTATGGTTGGGTGAAGGAAATAATCAAGATACAAAATATGTGACTGGAAATGGTCGATCAATGAGAGATAAGATATAAATGATCAATCAGCACATAGAAGGCTACAAATCAAAGAAATCCAAACATTCATATTAAAACTAAATGAGAAATCGCTTGTCTCACTATCAAGCTGTCAAGCATTCTTGTACACAGCCGCTGAGAGTTCACGTAGCCTGCTACACCCTTTCCACAGTCCTTTTGGCAATATGCCCCAAAACGTGCTTAAACCTTTTGACCTAGAAATTGTACCTGTAGGAAGCTCTCTTTTAAAATGGCAAAGGTATAGTTATCAGAATGCTCTTACTATGTTATTTAAAATAAGAATAAATAATAATAATCTAAAATCTAAAGATTGCACACAGGTACACTGATTAGTCATATGATATAATATTATACAATGTTTTGAACAGTATAAAATATATTAATGGCAGAATAATACAGTCTATAATATGGCTCCATTTTTGTTATATTTAAATATATATATATTTAAATGGTTTCCTCCCTCTATGTCTTCTAATTTTATTTTATTTTTTTTTAAGATTTTTATTTATCTTGAGAGGGGAAGGGAAAGAGAGAGGGAGAGAAATATCAATGTATGGTTGCCTCTCATGTGTCCCCTGCTGGGAACTGGCCTGCAACCCAGGCATGTGCCCTCACTGGGAATCAAACCACAATACTTTGGTTTGCGGGCCCATGCTCAATCCACTGAAGCTACACCAGCCAGGGCTATGTCTTCTAATTTTAAACAATGAAATACATTACTTCAATAAAAATTTATTAAATAATGCAGATGAGAAAAACATTTGAAGGAACAGTTTAAAACTTAATAGAAGATTGTTAAAGCAATGGGATGGTGGGAGTGTTTTCCTTTTCCTCTTATTTTTTTTTGCAAATTCTCTGCAATGTTCTTACATTACTTTTATCACGCAACGTATTTCTGAAGTGCATAGGGAAACCAACACTGATTTGCAAGCCCCTCATCAGAGAGAATGTGGGGTCAATCCTGCCGCTCCCACTTCCCTTCCTCTCCGTATTCCTTTCTGCAAGGCTGGACATATTTCTCCACATTTCTCTAGGGAAGCCTCTCCAGGACCTTGTGTACCAATCAAGAGCTCAGGCACTACAGAGCAGAGCTGGTGCCAAACTGCCATCAGTGTCTCTGCGACTTCCCCACTAACCACTCGCAGGGCTATAAAAAGACTCGGTGGGAGAACAGGGTCTGGCCAGCTCTCCCACCAAAATCTTGGCCATGAGGTCTGCCCTGGGCCTGTCTGCATTTCCATTTCCTCATCCGTTAGAGGGAGAGTGTGCAGGGGACAGTCTCCTAGGTTCCCCTGTTCAAACTTTCTGATTCTAGGAGCCAGTAGGAACTACAGCCAGCAATAACCAAGAAGGACTTAGGAATCCACTTATCTGTATTTATACGGAGCTATGAGAACTAGAGGAGGCCAAGCAGGAGTCAGGCTAAGCTAAGTGAAATCATGATTGCACTGGGATTAACGACCCGGCTTTCTCAAAGTGAAATGCCTCCACTTACTCTGTAGTCTCTGTTCACATCACTGAGCTGCCAATAATCATTAGGGAGGCCCATGCGCTTGTACTCTTCCCCAAGGTCGATCAGCATCCAGCCTTGCTCTCTTTCTTCTTTATCCAGCTTGGGGTTGAATGAAAAGCAGTATAACTCTTCGTATTTAACTGCAAGAAAAGAGAGAATAAAGCCTAATCAAGCTCGGCCAAAGCCAGAGCCAAATCTCTTCAAAGCACCTCTCTCTGGGCTGGAGTACAGGGAGAGGCCAGCCCAGCTCCTTGCCCCTAGGAACCCAGGTGCACCCCATCTCTGTGGGCAGGGCCACCCACCTCCTCCCAGTTGTGACAGGAAGACCTGGGACAACTAGACTCAACTTTGCAAGAGTTTCTTTCATTTTAGAAACAAGGTCTCCTCCATCTTGTGCTTTTTTTAAAAGTTGCTTTTGAAAGCAAATATATTTCCCAGACCACACAAAATATACAGCATAAATATGAATGAAGAAGGCTTGCATTCATCAGACATCAGGTTTATGACTCCTGAGCGTGGGTTTGCTCGGGCCCTGGGGAGGGGGCGGTTACCCAGGCCAGGGCCACATTTCGATGCTCACAGTATTAAAAAAAAAAGTTGAAAAAAACTCTGAAATATATTTATATGTTTGCACTGAAAACATTTGAACTTTTTACGACCACATAAATGTCACAGTTGTGCTGCTCATACAATATTTATGGGAGTCATAAAAAGAAACCCTAATCCCTAATGCGTGGCACCCTGGTCAAGAGGGGGAAGTTGAAGGATAGAGAGCGAAATTCTTCTTTCAGTTCTGCCAGGATATCTTCGCCTTTTATGCCCATGAGGCCAGATGCAGAACCCCTCCCCTTGCCACTAAGATCTGGGATTTAGTTTCCTGGCCCATGGTTTTCTTCGTTGTGGGCAGCATCTAGTCCAGGTCTGACTTTCCAACGGAAATATAAGTAAGCATGCCTGCCATTTACAATGTCCTTGTAGCCACAGTAAAAAGCTAATAAGAAACAATGAAATTAATTTTACTAATTTATTTAATTCCATACATCCAAAATATTATTTCAACATGTACATAATATAAAACTTACTGATACTTTGTATGTTTTCTTTTGTGTTGTCTTTGAAGTTCCACATGTCTTTCGCTCTTACCAGCTCATCTTAGTTCACGCTCGCGGCACTTCACGCTCCAACAGCTGCCGACAGCCAGTGGCTACCCTACTGGGCAGTATATGTCTAAGCCCTTCTGGTGATTGTGAATTATGACTGATAGCTCACCAAACCCTTGTTTCAGCCTAGATTTGTGCTAATTCGATGTATGAACCCATCCGGTAGGCATCATGATGGGCCTCGCTTGATAGGCAGAAATCTGAGGCACGGGGTGGTTGAGGAACATTTCAGAGTCACGCAGCAAGTCACTGGGGAGTGTGGATTTAAATGAGGTGATCTAACTGTTCAGTACAATCCCTGATGCCTCACACACTGCTCCTCCAAGGCGGAGCCTTCTCTCACCTGCCCAGATGGACCACTTTCGTATCTTTGATCTCCCCATGCTATGTCCTGACTCCCCGTTTTTCTCTAATAGATTTCTTCCTTCTCTCAGTTTTCTTGGGTCCCACATTTATTCCTCGATCTGCTGAAGCATCAGTATGGACAATGTAATGCTCCTGAAGGCCCTGTACCTGGAGACCCTGTGGAGAAGCTCACAGGCAGCCCCAGACCAAAGCTCCATTTCAAGTGCAATGTGATGGCTACCGAGACAACTCATTGACAGGGAAGGAGGGGACAAGGATCACATCTGCAGTCCCGAACTTCTTCATCAGACACACACTTTTTTTGTAGAAATGAAGTTCAAAGCTAAGGTGTACCAGTGAGATAAGCTATGTTCTATTTCAGTCTCTCTTGATACCATATTTCTAAACTTCAAAATTTGGAATACCAGTGATTTCAGCAAAAGAGAACATGCACACATATAGGCACGTGCACACACAAACACCAAGCAGACACCTTCGGTAAAAAGCACTCCTTGTACTCTCAGCTAGTAGGCTGACCGCGTGCGAGACTGAGATGCTGTTCTGGGAACAGCTGCCTTCACACCGACACATCTTCTCCAGCTCTATGTACCATTTTCATGAGTCAGGCTTCCGACAGCATCCTGTTCACTGCAAATGCAGTTTGTCTAAGATGCCAAAAGAATCTCTTGAGAAAGCCTCAGTTCCCCGAGTGAGAGAAGAGCTCATGAATACAGAGTAATAATGGAAGTTAAGTTCCCTTGGTTAAATATTTACAAACAGGTTTAAGGGTAGAAGAAGAAATACAACCTGGCTACTGAGAGTTTTCTGTGCACGGGCTCATGCTGGTGGTCATTGCAAAGAGGCAAGGAGACTGGACATAAATTAAAGCAAGAATAATTTGTAACAGGCATAAAGGAGGTCACTCTTGAAGTGGGAGACATTAGAAGGGACTTCCACTGGAATTGTGAAATTTTTGCTCTCAGCTGTTTTTAAGGAAAGGGGCGATTTACCATACCTCCAGCCCACTGGAGTAAAATTAAGTAAAATTTAAGTAAATTTTAAGTAAATTTACTTTAAGTAAAATTCTACATGAGGGCGGAGAAACTGACACTCTTGTCAGCCAACTACAGTCTTGTTGATGTGGACAAGCTTCCTCCTGAGAGGCCGGCTCAGCAGAAGGCTTCAGCTGAGGATCAGAGCAATTAAAATACCATTAACACAGTCACAAATTTTACTGAATATTTTCTTTTTACAATACTCTGTTCCCTTCCCCTCATTCTCCTGCAAAATACCTAGCAGAATGCTTGGTCAGTGGTGGGAAAGTAAGTTAAAAACAAGAGTAGGGCTAGAGAAATCTCTGGTCTTTACAGAATCTGAACTTTGACAGAATTTAAGGAAGGTCAAATTCCTGATTTGTCACCCACTCTCAAAACAGACGTGTTAAATACTCTACCGGATTTTCATGTCACCAAGTCTGGGTCATCACACCCAACATCAATCACGTTAGCTGTCAGTGACCACAGGTCTCATGACGAGGTGCACTAACAGCCACAACCCCAGAGCCTGGCCACGCCCCCAGGGCCTGGCCACGCCCCCGGGGCCAGGCCACACCCCCAGGCTTAATTACTAGGAGGACAGGGAAGATCCTCCAAGGAAAAGCAAAAAACACTCAACATGCTTTAGGCTGGAGAAGTAAACGGAATGCACACCTCTAACTAAATTTTGTTTTCAGAAAAAGTGAAGTGTAAGTTATTCCAGTATTTACTTTATTAACCTACTTAGTAGATCATATCATTGTTAAACAAAGACAGGCTGGAAGGTTTGGCTCTTCAGGAAAAAAAAATGACAATTTCTGAAACGCCACGTTCAATTCAGAATGAATGGCACTTTGGCTATGTTTCTAGAAAAGCCAAATCAGTGTTCACAGGACCAGGTAGACCCCAGGAGCCGGACCCCAGCACGTCGTGCTGACTGGTGGTGTTGTACCCGCATGGTCCTTCCTCACTAACACAGGGAAGCCTGCGTCTCTGTGACGTCACTGCCAGTGGTTCTCAGGGAACCCCGCCTCCAGCCACCTGGAGAAGATGCAGCCATCGAGGAGAAACTCCTTCAACTTTTACTCCTTCGCCAGGAAACTCTTTCATCTTGGAAGTACCAAGCCCACACATGGCCGTGTCTGTGCACCCAACCTTTGCTTCTTCCCTCCCCAGAGAAGGTGTTCATGGCACAAAGAGAGAGCTGGGGGTAAAACGAAGCACTCGGGAGGAAAGGAAAACAACCAAACAAGTTTGCTTCCCAGGTACCCAGCTAAAGGGGATGAGAACAATATTTGGGGGGTACATTTCCTCTTACTATGGACTACCTAAGAGGGGAAAAGTGATTTAATATTAAAATCAAAAGTACTTTAAAAATTAAAAAAACTTGTAACAACCAGTATAAATATTAAATAAAACAATTATATTATAGGTGGTTTCCCTTACACAATTTTTTTAAAACATGGGAAGGAAAAACAAACGGGAATGAGCATCAGGGGAATGGAAAGGGTGGGTGAGGGAAGGGAGAAGTCATGAGAAGGACGCAGAAATGCGGGTATTTCAGAACCAAAGGAAGCCTTGAAAGCTAAATTGCTCTAAATGGCCTGCTTAATGCGGGCAACTTAAAATAAATGAGCTTGAAAACCATTTAAAAGGAGGGGGGAGAAGATAACACAGCTATTATTGGATTTCGCATACTTAAAATAAAGCTAGTGAGACCATTCCTGCTTATTTTCCAACAAACAAGTGTTGAAATGCAACCTCAGGGTGGGGGAAGCTAACATGGAGGGAAGAGTTAGTGGACTTAGAGGTTAGTATCATCAGTAAAAAGGATGTTACCACAGTAAAAACTGCTTCGGCTGCAATAACTACTTAAATACAGTAAAAATTACATACAGCAAATGATATTATATTAATTCTGAGAGTTTAAAAATAATGAGCCCTGGCTGGTGTAGCTCAGTGGATTGACTGCAGACCTGTGAACCAGAGTATTGCGGTTTGATTCCCAGTCAGGGCACATGCCTGGGTTGCAGGCCAAGTCCCCAGTAGGGGACGCACAAGAGGCAACGATACATTGATATTTCTCTCCCTCTCTCCTTCCCTTCTCCTCTAAAGATAAATAAAAATAAACTCTTTTAAAAAATCATAATGAATAGCAGAGGAATTGGGGACTAAGGTAAACTGAAAAACAGCTTAGTAAAAATGGGAAAATAAAAGACATAGTTTAAATGTCAAAAGGTTCACAGACATGGCAGAAGGAATCATAATTGATACAAAAATTAACTGCAGGAAGCAAATTGGAGGAGAAAAAAAAGAACATGGGGAAAACGGAAGCCCTCAAAGCAATAGGGGTCTTTTAATCCAATGCATTTCCTAATTAGTACTTTGAGTCTATGGGATTAACTTATTTCCTCATTTAGGCCATACCATTATTTTACCGTAAGTTATTTCTTTACTGAGAATTAAGGAGCATCCCAAATTGGGCTACATTATTTTTTTACTGGGATCTTTATAGTTCATGACCAAACTCTGACCAATCTTAATTCATATACAAGGCAAACCAATCAAATCTTGCCAACTTTTTTAGTCATTTGATTCTACCCTTCTCCCAGAAATCCCACTTCAGGGAAGAGAGAATTGTGAGACCATTGAAAAGATCTGCTTCGTAAGCCTTGACTTAAATGGATTCTTGAATGGTTTTGCTTTTGTAATTTAAAGAAACCGTCATCTTCTACAGGCCCTTGGGGTTCGCTGCGTCATAATGAGACTGAGAAAGTGTATGATTTGTGTTGGTGACTAAGCAGAGAGCCACAGTGTGTACCACTAGAATTCAAAGTCTAACACACACACACACACACACACACACACACACACACACACAGAGCCGTCTTTGATCTCCAGCTACCTCTAACACCTGACTCCCAAAATTTTATCTTTAAGAAAAAGTGTGTATTTTCAAAACCAGGGGAAGACTGATTTTCCTCCCTGGGGACCCCTCGCAATGGCAGTCCTGGCGCTCACTGTTAGCAGGCGCCAGAGCCCTCACTGGCTGTGTGATCTCCGAGCCACTCAGCCCTTTCCCAGGTCCCCAGGCTGTTCCTAAACCCCATTAATCCGGTCAGAGCACACGCATCATCCAGAGAGCGTCCCTTAATCAGTGACACAGAAACTGCTGGCCCACAATTGTCCCCGCGTTCTCGGCTGCATGCAACCTAACGTGCATCTTCCCAGACCTCTGTTCCAATTATAGTGCTGTCTGTGAAGAGTTCAGCCGCTTTTCTGGCTAACTCTGCCGTTCTCTTCAACACAGTAAGACAAAAAAGCTTCAACCAGCTGCCTTCGAAGAGGAGCAAATAAAGTCAACATCGTCAGACTCCAACAGCTCCCTGGCATCATTTTCATGACCTAACTTTAGCACTTGGCTGTTCACAGATGAGATGGCCAAAGCATAAGAAACCGAGGACTCAACCCAACGCCTTGAAGAATTTATGATCAAACTGTCCTGAATCACAAAGCATTTAGCAAAAGCAACCTCATGCTCATTCATATCCTACTTCCTTACTAATGACTTCTGGGGAACACTACCATGAACATGACTTTTATATAAGTGACCTCTTTTCACTGTATTCCCCCAAGAAACTTAAAGGTGTATTTCTTTTAAGCAAAAGAGCTCCGCAGTTCACACAAGCCATGCGGGGAGACAAGGAAGGCTTCTGTAGAAGGGCGCAGTGGGCTAGAAATCTGAGGACCCAGGACAGTAACTGAGCGCCATGCTCCTCAAGTCCACCACACCTTCCTCCCAGGACACCCCAGGAGGTGCTGTTCAGGTGACCCAGCAGCTCCATACTTTGACTAGTCATTAATATGAACAAAGGTCTAGTTACACCAACCCTGGGAAACATCAATTACAAATCCAAAAGCAACAGAAACCAAACCTTGGAAGCCCCCGGATGGGGAAGACTGTATTAGAATCATTGGATATCAACGTTTTCCATATGGAATAATGTATCACTTTGGTCTTAGACCTCCATTAAGGTCACTTGATTATCACAGGATCAGAAAGGCATGATTTTAAAATGATTTCATCCTGAAGGGGAAACAAACATACTTCTCACCCCGCCCAGAGATAAAAAAAAAATACTAAAAATAATGGAAGTGGTTCATGAGAGACAGCTCAGGGAGAGGAATGCTGTTATTCAGGTTTCTTGGCCTCATCTGGGGCCTGGGAGAGCATCTGATTCCATAACACTATATGATTCTCAAGCACGACAGAAACTTCTCGAATGTGCTTCGTGGATTGCTTAGGAGAAGGTCCATGTAAGATGCCGGGCTCCTCTGCCTTACCTGGCCTTGCAAGGCGGAGCAGAGAAATGTACACGTCGTGGCAATCCCTCTCCTGCGGTATGATGAGCTGTAAGAGCTGAAAGTTCTTGCAACGAATAAGCAGATGGCATCCCGTAGCTGTTGTGGCCTGCTTCTCAATGGTGGAAATCTGGCTGTGCAGAATCTACAACCAAAGGTTAAGGTGAATAAGCTCAGCACAAATACCTGATGGATATGACAGGGAGTGACTCAGAGCTCTGAGCCACACAGAGGAATGGGCAACACTCCCCCCCGTCCGAATAGCTCCTCACCTGCGCTCAGATAACAAGACCTGAGATGTTTTGGGAAACAACCAACTGACTAATTTTGTCATTTTACTTTTCTTTTTTTTCAAAGATTTTATTTTTATTTTATTTTTTAGAAAGAGGTGAAGGGAGGGAGAAAGAGAGGGAGAAAAACATCAACGTGGTTGCCTCTCGAGTGCCCCCTACTGGGGACCTGGCCTACAACCCAGGCATGTGCCCTGACTGGAAATTGAACCAGCGACTCTTTGTTTTGCAGGCCAGCATTCAAACCACTAAGCCGAACCAGCCAGGGTCCATTCTACTTTTCAATGCCCAGCTTTCTGATATCTAAGCTCCTTATCTGAAGCCAACTATTCAGTGTACCATTTTGTACAAGTCCAGGTAAGGGAACATTTTGGTTGTCCAACGTTGATTGCGGTTCATGGCTAAAATTAAACAAGGTCATGAGAAGTTAGTAAAATAAACCTTGCAATCAACAAAAGTTGGAGATGACTCTGCTGGGAGGGGCCCCCATGCTCCTGAATTCCTCATGGAATGCTCAAGTTCAACAGCTTGTTTTCTAAGCTGTTGGGGGTCAGGCCGGCTGCAGAGGAGATTTATTTTGAAGGAAATCATGCTGAAGAGTATCTTTGTTATTTCAGGAGGGTCTCTGCTTAGTCCTCAGTGACAGCGTTTCATTCTTTAAATTCCTCTCCAGTAAGTAGGACCTGCCACCTTCTTCTGAAAATGTGGCAATGTCTATGGGATACAGAAAGGGCTGGATCTACACTTCAGGGATTCTGGCACTGCTCATTACATCACGGTGAGTTGGCTATATAAAATAAGAAATACCCAGTGGTCTCATCATTAAGAAGCAGAAATACCCGTTGATAGGACTCTTCCCTAGCTCTCCTTTACATCTTTTTTTAAAGTTCAGAACAGTGGAGATAACAGGATGAAATGACTATCTCTGGCATACTGACATTTTCGAGTCTCTACTCAAAAGCTGTGACAAGAACCACTTGTATCTCTGGCTCTTCCTAGGGTCTATCTTTGATGATGGCCACATAATCAGCGTTTAAGATGAGTAAGGAGATGTAGATCTGACTCTGTGCAGAAAAGGGCAAAGATCACATTCCCAAAACAGTTCTCTGAACACCCAAACACCCAAAGCCCACCCACCTCACCCTGGGGACGAGCCAAACAGTGGAGAATCTCACGTCACTTCAAACAATGTGAAGTCAAAAGGAGGAATGCGTACCCACGTCTCTTTTCTTGTGTCGGGTGCATTTTCCACGAAGATGACGTGAGTAGCCGTCAAATACAAAGTACCGAGGGCTGCTTTTTTAGAAGATATTCGATCTACCAAGCGGACATTTTCGACCTGGGAAAACGAATTGGACACAGCTACAGTTAAAGCACAAGAGCTAGTAATAAAAATAAACCACGGGTAGGCAACCCTCTACTTTATCCAAAAATACAATTTTGAAAATTCTACTAATAAGAAAAACCCAATTGGCCCCTTAAATTACTTAGGTCATAGACCATGAATCTGCAGATCAAAAGATAAAAATTCACCAATTACTTAAATATAATCATAAAGGTACTGCAAAAGATTTACAGACCCTATTCTTTAAAGTTACCTTTTCTGTGTTTTAACTAAGTCAGAGTTTTCATTTCATTGTTATTATATAATTCTAGCTTAAGGCAGGAAATGTGTACATCAAAGTTGTGAGTTCACACAATAACTGTGTATAAATTACTTTTTATTAAAAAGGAAATAATATACTTTCCTATGTGTTTCTCAGTTGTAGAACTTGTCTCAAGGCAGGGAATATATATATATATATATATATATATATATATATATCTAGGAATAAAAATTATCAAAAATATGTTCTGCACATTTTACAAGGAAAACTTCCCAAATTAAGATTCTCGCATTCATTTGTAATAAAATATGTCTGACACATAGAATTCTTACCACTGAGCTAATTTAACTGTTAGGAGCGATTTCTTGGAAACCGTTTTTATCAAGCATGCATTTCTTACATGCAGAGCAGTGTCAAGGTCATGTGCATTAGGATCATTCTAATATGAAATGCAATGGGAGTGACAGGACAAGCTCTACGGGACAAGTGAAAACTGAAGACAGACAGTGGCTCAACCCTCATCCTTCAAGTCAGGATGGTTCTCTGCTTCCATGAGGCAGCTTAGGGACTAATGAATCGTATTTGCTCCATCCTTTAGCCCAGTGGAGAAGCTGTGGTCCTGATAGAATTGGAGGGCCCAAGGCTTCTCGACGGCTCCAGAGGAGACTCAGGGGGGAAATCTGACCTACTGAACACTGCTCAGGACAACTCCAGGGGCAAACAGCACTCCAGGGGCAAGACACCCATTGCTTCCATCTCCTCTGAGCCCTTAGAACTGAACCAGCCTTCCGGATCCCATCCCACTTCTTAATTTCCAGGGATCTAATGAAGTCAGTAAAGAGTTAGATATTTGAGACATTGTCTTTACCTCGGGGTGGTTACATAGTTCCTGAGGCCTTGTGAATGGTTATGATTCGTAAAGATGTTCATTGAAGAACCTATCATCTTACTGTTTTTTAAAGTATTTCTTTTGTTACTGATATGTTCCACCTTCTTTTATAGGGGTGATCATCCCTGTGTCTCTCTTTCGTGAATGGTCTTCATATCAATGGACTTCGCTACTAGGTGATCATCATTTATCAGAACAGTTTCAATAGTAAGGATAGTACCTTATGGCTTACTTCTTATGAGTTTGTATGTCTTTAACATGCTTTTTTATTGGTTCCACTAATTTTTTCAATGAAGTTACTTGGATCTTCTGAGTAAAGAGGAATGCTTTCTATAATGATTTGCCCCTTTCTTTCCAGTATTTATACCTCTTTTGCCCCGTGTTTAATGATGTGAACTAGAAGCTTCAAAATGACAATGAGAGTGGTGACAGCAGCCACACTTGTGTTGTTTTCTGTTTTTTCAATAACAGCTTTATTGCAATAGGACTCACATTCCATACAACCCACCCATTTAAAGTACACCGTTCAGTGGTTTTAAGCATGTTCACAGTGTTGTGCCTATCATGATTGTGTGACTGTTGTCACAATCGATTCTGAAGCATGGTCCTCATCCCACGAGACAGAAGACATGTGCCCACAGCAGTCTCCCCCAGTCACGCCAGCACCAGGGAGCCATCATTCTAGGTCCTGTCTCTGCAGATTTGCCTGTTCTGGGCATTTCATGTAAATGGGATATGTCATACTTTGTGACTAGTTTCTTTAACTTAGCATCATGTTCTCAATCTATCCAATTTTAGAACGCATTAGTACTTCATTTCTTTTTTTATTGCTGAGTAATATTCCATTATATGGATATACCACATTTTATTTACCCATTTGGCGGTTGATAGACATTTGGGCTGCTTCCACTTTTCAGCTATTGTGAATATCGTTGCCGTGCACATTCTGGGACAAGTGTTTGTGATGACACATGCTTTCATTTCTCTTGGATATATACATATATCTCAAGGTCTGTCCAGAAAATCCCAGCCATTGTTAATATAACAAGAACAGTTTGCACAACATCGATGTAACCTGGCAGCCAAGGAGAGTGGACTGGAATGTACGGGGGTGAACAACGACACCTTCACTGTACTGGTCAGTGGAGGCGTTAGATGCGGTTGAGTGAGTATGTAGCATTAAGCTTGAACATTCCTCCATGGATACTATTCAGACGATTCAGGAGGCCACAGGTATGGGCAACTGAATCATGACAATGTGCCTGCTCATGTATCACATCTTGTGCAGTTTTTTGGTGAAACATCAAATCACCCAGGTGACTCAGCACCCATACAGCGAAGATTTAGCACCCTGTGACTTCTGGATTTTTCCCCAAACTGAAATTGCTTTTGAAAGGGAAGATATTTCAGACCATCAGTGTGATTCAGGAATCTACAATGGGGCAGCTGATGGCAACTGGGAGAACTGTGTGAGGTCCCAAGGTTGTTTTTTTACATCTATTTTACTTACAAATTATCTTCTAATTGCTACTTTTAAAATTCTTACAATGTTTTAATTCTTATCTGTGGGGTAAATCTCTCTCTTCATGTTTTCTCTCATTGTTCTTACTTTATTGCCGTTAGATAGGCAAAGGTTTTTCTTCAAAGAAACAGGTCTTGGATTAATTAATTTAATAATTTTTCTCTCTCCTAATTGCTAATTTCTGTTTGTGCTTGTTAATGCAGGTCTTACCTTTCTTTCCTCGGGGATATCATGCATTTTTTATTTTTGTTCATTTTGAAACTTGCAGGTTTAATAGTCAGCTCATTGAGTTTTATTCTTTTTGTTTAGTAACAAAAATTTAAGTCCAATCATTTTCCTCCAAATAAATCTTTGGCTGCATGTTTTATTATTCTTACTTTCTAGATAGACCATAACTGGAGTTTTTATTTTTTTCTTTGACCCAAGAGTTTTTAAGGAGACTATTTTTCAATTCCCACATGATTGGATTATTTTATTTAAACATTTGTCATTAAACATTCTATTTTAAACTAGCTGCAACAACGATATTATGGAAGAGAGTTGTGGGAAGAGAGAAGAAAGGGGATATATTATTTTTGGAACATTCCTATGGGAAAAAAAACTAATTTGCATGCTAAAATGTGCCAAACTAAATTAAGCGGAGGTCCAGGGATGATATACCAGTTAACAATATCTAAAAATGAAAATCAAGTCATTTCTCTGGTACTTAGACTAATGAAACAAAGTTTTATTGAGACAATCACATTGAACATAAGATACTATTTTGAGACAAAAATATTTAGTATGAATTATTCTCCCCACAGAAGTGAAGGAAGTAGCTACACCACTTAGCTTATTTTTAGAAAACCTCAATAGAACCGAGCAAGGATAGCAGAGGGTCATATACTAGAATACTTAATGAGATTTTTTTCCATGTTTTCATGTTAACTTTGGAGGCCGCTGCAGGAATATTACATTTCAAAAGTCGGAGCTGGTTTTTCAGGTCCCACAGCTGTCAAAAGCAATTTTGAAGTAGTGAGAGGAATAAAGAAATGACAAGCAAATAGGGAAGCACCAACAGCATGATTTCCCAGTGCTGTGAAACAATCAAAGAAATGGGTGATAAGATTTAAAATTCAGTGATCTGAGAAATTCTCTGAAGACCGGGAGCCCTGCCCACCCCCACCACGTGGTTTGCACAAAGGTAGCCAGAGCTTTCTCCAGTGCCGGTCGACTCTGGATAAAATGCAGTAAATCTCAAGAACTGTGTCACTGTGTTGAAGATCCACGGACTCAATATTGCTGCCTTATTGCTCACTTAACTTAATTCTATTGTGCTGACACATATAATAACCTATATGGCATTAAAGTCTCTTTCTAACTTGAAGAGAGATGACTCTTAGGAAACCACCAACTTCCCTAGACAAAGTTATTGCAGCTCATTTGTGTGTTCCTAGGAACACCTAAGAACTTAGTGTGTCTTCATATGCTTAAGACATACTAAGTGATCATGCTCTGCAAATGGCAGTTCATCTATGCAAATCATATTACAATATATTGTTAACTCTTGAGTGTACAATTTTCACCTTCTGACACTTCTAAAAATGCAACACGTCTTATGATTAATGTGGTAAGAAGCCATTGTGCCATTTAAGGGGCAGTGTTTTTGTCTCTCTTTGTGGTACATAAAATCTCAGCCCATCTTAAAATCACTGACACTCTAGCTTTGCTGAAATGCAGTTAAGTTTGTAGTCATTGACATATGAATGGTATCTGAAACCATGGGACCTAAAGAGGTTACTTAGAGAAAGCCTGTAAAGGGAGACTATATCTGAGATCATGCAGCATTTGAAGGTTGGATGCAAGAGAAGGATTCCAAAAAGCCAACTAGGAAGGAATGGCCAGTTAGGAGAAAAATCAGAGGAGCATGATGTCAAGGGAGCCTGTGCAGAAGCAACGGTCTAAGAGAGGAGTGTTTGTGTGGAGCGCTGCTGAGAGATCAGATAAGGCAAGGCCTGTGCAATGCACAAGGAGCTCTGTAATATGGAACACGTGGAGGCGTGTTCCGGGAACGCAGGCTTCAGAAGCCATCGCACAGCGGGTGGAGCTGTGAGCTCACAGGAGCTGAGAAAGGAGAGGTCCCAGTCTTTGCGGAAGTGAGGTCAGACTGGGTGGAAGCCAGAGGGGCACAGCGTGGCCTCTCAGACTCCATCCCAAAGCAGCCAGTGGCCAAAGCACGCAAAGAGCTTTCCAGAAGCAAATGGCAGGTCAAGACGTTTCCAAGAACAAAGCCTATTAATGATGCCAGTGAGAAGGCATCGCCAGCTGAGATGCACACAAGA